GCAGCAGCTCCAACGCCTGGGTCCACAGCACCAGCAGCAGCACCAGCAGCACCGGGGTCCACGACACCAGGCGCGCCACTCCGAAGAGTGCAGTGCCGCTCGTACCACTCACGGATCTGCTCACGGGAGGGGAGCTCCCGGCTAGGAGGAGAAGCACTAGCACCAGCCCCAGTAGTACGCCTGGCTCCAGAGGTACCTCTCCGGAGGCTGCAGTACTGGAAGTACCACTCACGCAGCTGCTCCGAAGAGAGGGCTCCTCCAGGTGTAGGACTCTCAGGCTCAGGGCCTCCAGACTTAGAACCCCCAGACTCCGGACTCCGCGGCTCAGCACCCCCAGGCTGAGCACCCCCAGGCTCCGCACCCCCAGGCTCAGCACCCACAGGCTCCGCACCCCCAGGCTCAGCACCCACAGGCTCCGCACCCCCAGGCTCAGCACTCCCCGGCTCAGCACCCCCAGGCTCTGCACCCCCAGGCTCAGCACCCCCAGGCTCAGCACCTCCAGACTCCGCACCTGCAGCAGGACGAGAGTCGACAGCTACCTCAACAGGCTCAACCGGGTCTACCTGAGACACACCTGAGGGAGCGGCACCCTGAGGGGGGAGGGGGTCGAAGACAGCAGCACCTGGCGCGAGGAAGAGAGGCGGGGGTGGGGAGCGGGGCGGTGCGGTAGGGGAAGAGGCGGTATTAGGGGACGGACTCGTCAAAAGTGACGTCCTGAGAGGGCAAGACTCGGCGCGAGGTGGCGTGGTAAAACTGCCAACCAGGCGCGTCCGGGACAAAGCCGAGGAAGACGCAGGGAACAGCACGGGAGGAGAGCTTGTCCGCAGACGTATCGCGGACAAAAGCTCGAGATCCCCAGACCCGGAAACGTGACGCATCGCCAACCTCCCCCGTCCACAGCAGTGTGGGCGAGGTCTCCGGCAAGGAGACACGGGGCCAGAGGTTGAGCTGATGCGCAGCGTACCGGACCGCAAACGGCCACAGAAAGTGGGGGGCAGCCGCATGGATCAAGGAGGTACGGGCGACCTCCATGACCAGGCCAATGCAGCGCTCCGCAACCCCATTCTGCTGTGGAGAAGCCGGAAGCGTGAACGACTGCTCAATGCCGTGCTCAACACAGTAGGCTGCCAAGAGGTCGGAGGAGAACTCACCACCTCTGTCAGAGTGCAAGCGCAGGACATGAAAGTCCGAGCGGAAACGCTCGCTGAGCTGGAGACGGGCTCTGCGGATCCAAGGGATCAAGACATCAGGGACCTCACCCTTGGTGCGCAAGGGGAAGCCCGTGGTGTAGCGCGAGTAGTCGTCAACAACTATCAGGAAGTACCTCTCCTGACCCTGACCACGGACGCGGGCTGGGCCCCACACGTCCATGTGGAGCGTCTGCAAGGGAGCAGTCGTCGGGGGAAACGAGGAGGAGTGAGGAGCGGCGCGCTTCTGCCCCTCAACACAGGGAAGACAAGGAGGAGCAGGCGAGGGTGGGAGGGGAGGGAGGACCCTGGGAAGACCAGAGACAAGGTACCGGGAGTGCATGGCACGAAGGCGCTGCACAGACGGGTGGCCAAGTCGGTGGTGCCAGAGGACAGTCTCGTGCGCGAGAGAGCGACACGAGCAGGGGGCAGACTGCTGACCTGACGCGGACGCAGACGCGGACGCAGACGCAGACGCAGCGACCTTAGGGGACTTAGTGGTCAGAGTGTACAGGTGCGACCCCGGCTGCCGAGTGAAGGTAGCCAAGTGGTGGCCCGTACGAGCACACGTGCAGTGTGTCACACGCTCGTAGGCAGGGGTGAACTGGTGAACACCCGCGTCCTGGAGTGCACAACCTGCCACCAAGTTCGTAGAGAACGAGGGGAGGTGGAGACCTGACAGTGTGCCCGACGGGACCGCAGGACAGGGAAGGACAGTGGAGGAGGTTGCAATGACCGGACCCCCAGAGGGGTCAGCGAGGGAGACAGCAACTGGCCGAGCAAGTGGCTCAAGGGCAGTGCGGTCACGAAAGAAGCAGCGAGAAGCACCTGAGTCCAGTGTGAAGGTGTGCAGTGCTGCTGCCGACTCAGTACCAGGGGGGACAGACGCACAAGCACCTAGAGCAGCTGCCTCACCAGCATCTGGGGTAGCAGACACGCGAGTACCTGGAGCGGCAGACGCACTAGTCCTAATGCCCGGGTCGGGCGGGACACACAGGTACTCAGCACCCTTTCCACTAGTAGACATCACATACATAGCAGTGAGAATAGCATCAAAGTCTAGAGCATAGATATCAACCCCCTTCTTCAGGAGATCAACCCAGCGGGGCAGCTCAGTGGCCTGAGGGAACTGAACACGCCAAGCGTCGTTGAGACGAGCGAAGCAGCGCTGTGTGGCGTGCGGTCCCCCACACGGCTGACCAGTGCGGTCACCAGTGCGAATGACGTATGTGCAGTTAAGGCCACCCCCCCCTCCCGTGCTGAGAGTACCACTCACGAACCTCCTGGGGCGACGGAGTGTGCTGCTGGCCCTAGCCACCGCCAGCGCCTCCACGACCACCACCGCCGCCGCCACCTCCTCGACCACCCCAACCCCTGCCGCCGCCGCGTCCACCGCCACCCCCACCACCGCCTCCGCCCCTGCCACCTCCCCCGCCGCTGCCGCCACCACCCCCACCGCTGCCACTAGCCCCTCCAGTCGCGCCACCACCCCACTGCCGCCACCACCCCCACCACCGCCTCCCCCGCCGTCACCACCTCCTCCCTTGCCCCCTCTGCCCCTGCCGCTGCGGCGCCCGCTCGAAGCAGACGCAGCCCCGACCTTCTCAGCACCAAGGAGGTCGAGAGCAGCAGCAGAGGCGACAAAGGGGAGAAGGGGGGAAGAGGAACACCCCTTAAAGAAAGGGGTGCGGGGGTCGCCACGAGAGGCACCTACAGCGACTATGCTAGTCTCAGCTGCAAGCAGTTCCTTCTCGAGGAGGGCAATGGTGAGCTCAGTGGGGCAGCGAGCTAGGAAGTGGTCCCTGACAGCACGCAATGTGTCAGGGAGGCGGGTGACTAGGTGGTAAAGAGTGAGCCAGAGTGGGGGGGGGTGAGTGGCAAGGAACTCAGCGGGCATGGCGGCACGGAAGCGGGCCTCACTAGTACGGAGGTGCGTGATGAGGTCAGCGACTGTGTGGAACGAGGCCAGGTCGGGAAACAGGTAGGGGAGGGAGAGACGACCTAGCGCGGCAGAGGCAGGTGAGGAGTAGCTAGCAACGGCAGCTGTGTACAGTGCCTGTGCAGTCTTGTGCTGGCCAAAGTGCTCGCGTTCGTCTATCGGCAGGGAGTTGCGAATAGCGAAGCGAGCGTGGGCATCACGAGTCTGCCACTGTGAGCGAGTAGTGCTGTCAGCAGTAGCAGCAGGGGCAGTGACATGGCCTAGGGCGTGATCGTACAGTGAGATGTCGTCCTTGGCTGTGAGCTGTAGATAGAGGTGCAGGTCATCTAGCCAGGTGTCAAACTTCACTGGGCGGCCCTCAGCATCGAAAACGAGAACCTGTGGGCTAGCCATAAGAGGAGTAGAAGTAGCAGCAGAAGGAGGAGGAGGAAGGAGGTAGGGCGGCTCGGTTGAGGTGGGGCGGCGCGGCTCGGGTGGGGCGGCGCGGCTCGGATCGGGCGGCGCGGCTCGGGTGGGGCGGTGCGGCTCAGGTGGGGCGGCGCGGCTAGGATCGGGCGGCGCGGCTCGGTTTGGGTCGGGCGGCTCGGTTCGGGCTGCTCGGGTCGGGCGGCTCGTTCTGGGCGGGGCCGTTCGGGGTCCTAGGGGCGAGCGCGGGGCCGATCGGGGCCTTTAGAGGCGAGCGCGGGGCCGTAAGGGGCTGCTAGGGATGAGCGCGGGGCCGTAAGGGGCCGCTAAGGGCGAGCGCGGGGCCGATCGGGGCCTCTAGGGGCAAGCGCGGGGCCGTAAGGGGCCTCTAGGGGCGAGCGCGGGCCGGTCGGGGCCTCTAGGGGCAAGCGCGGGGCCGTTCGGGGCTCTAGGGAGGTGAGCGCGGGGCCGACGGGGCCTCTAGGGGCGATCGCGGGGCCGAAAGGGGCCGCTAGGGGCGAGCGCGTGGGCCGTTCGGGGCCTCTAGGGGCGGGCGGACGGGGCCTTAAAGGGTCGTGAAAAACCGAGGCGCCCTAGGGCGCAGGTAGGTAGGTAGGTAGGTAAAGGTGGGCCCTAAAAAAATCGGTCCTAGGAAGGACCTGCTCTATACCATGTTGAAATCAACGAACAGGAATGGATGAACTAACAGTGAAAACAGTACAAGTACCTAACCCTAGAATTGTGTGCCCTCTATAGGCTAACCCACTGTAGCCTAAACAAGCACAACATATATAATGTTTGACATGTCAGAGTGCAGACGCAGAACAGGAAAATCCGAGCCGAAACTCTCTCTGAGCTGGAGACGAGGTGCGCGGATCCAGTCGATCAACACCTCAGCGACGTCACCCTTGCTGCGCAAGGGGAACACCGTGATGTAACGCGAGTAGTCGTCAACCACCAACAGGAAGTAACGCTCGTGACCCTGGCCACGGACGCGGGCGGGGCCCCACACGTCCATGTGAAGAGTCTGCAGCGGAGCCTCTGTCGGAGGAAACTCGGAGAAGTGAGGGGCGGCGCGCTGTCGCCCCTCGACGCAGGGGACGCAGGTAGGGGCAGGCCCCGGAGGTAGGGGAGGTAGGGTGCGGGGGAGACCAGAGACAAGGACACGGGAGGCCATGCCTCGGAGACGAGGCAGGGAGGGGTGACCAAGGCAGTGGTGCCAGAGGAGAGTCTGGTGGGACAGGAGACGACAGGAGCAGGGCGCAGACTCAGGACCAGACCTGGACGCTGCAGCAAACACCTGACTCGACGCAGCTACCTGACCAGACTCAGCAACCGGAGGAGACTCAGTAGTCAGTGTGTACAGGCTCGACCCCGGCCGACGGGTAAACGTGACCAAGTGTCGGCCCGTCCGAGCACACGTGCAGTGGGTCACCCACTGACTCGCAGGAGTGAACTGGTCAACCCCCCTATCCTGTAGTTCAGCTCCACTCACCAAGTTCGTAGAGAACGAGGGTAGGTTGAGACCTGACAGGGTGCCAGAGGGGGCCGCCGGGCACGGTAGGACAGTGAAGAAGCTAGCAAGGACAGGTACCCCAGAGGGGTCCGCCAGGGAGACCGCAACCGGCCGACAAAGCGGCGTAAGCGTGGTGCGGTCTCGAAAGAAGGAGCGGGAAGCACCCGAATCAAGGGTGAACGTGTGGGAGGCCTGAGCCGGCGTGGTACCTGAGAGAGCAGACTCACCTGCACCTGGGGCAGCAGACGCACTAGCACCTAGAGCAGCAGCCTCACCAGCACCTAGAGCAGCAGCCTCAATGCCCGGGTCAGGCGGAACACACAGGTAACAGTCACCCTCATCACTAGTAGACACAGCATACATGGCAGCAAGAATAGCATCATAATCAAGATCAAAGATAGCAACCCCCGCCCTAGACAGCTCTCCCCAGCGAGGGATCTCAGTGGCGTCAGGGAACTGGTGATGCCACGCGTCCGTCAGGCGGCCGAAGCGGCGCTGGGTGGAGTGCGGGCCCCCGCACTGCTCACCAGCACGGTCGCCGGTACGGAGGTTGTAGGTGCAGGGACCAGTACCCCCACCTCGCTGACGCTCAGCGTACCACTCACGAAGCTGCTGGGGGGACGGGGTCTCACGACTGCGCTGCTGCTGCTGGCGCGGACCACCACTGGAGCCACTCCTCTGCGCAGAGCCGCGACCAGCTCCTCCGCTGCCTCCGCCGCCTCCGCCACCTCCGCCACCTCCGCCGCCTCCGCTCCCTCCGCCACCGCCGCCGCCTCCTCCGCCTCCACTGCTGCCACCGACACCTCCACCCCCGCCACCACTCCCACCACCACCCCCAACCCCTCCACTACCTCCACCACCACCTCCACCGCCCCCGCCAGCCCCTCCAGCGCCCTTGCCCCCCTTGCCCTTGCCGGTGCGACGTCTCCCGCTAGGGGCAGATCCAGCGCCGACCGACTCGAAACCAACGAGGTTGGGCGCAGCAGCAGAAGCAACAGAGGGCAAGAGGGGGGAGGGGCAACAACCCCCAAAGATGGGGGTGCGAGGGTCACCACGAGAGGCTCCTACAGCGACTATGCTCTTCTCTGCTGCTAGGAGGCGCTCCTCGAGGAGGTCGACGGTTTGTGTGGTGGGGCAAACTAAGAGGAAGTGGTACCTGACTAAGCGAAGGGAGTCAGGGAGCCGGGTGACTACGTAGTAGAGGGTGATGTACATGGGGGGGGGGGGTTCTTGGCACAGAACTCAGCAGGAAGCGCAGCGCGGTAGCGAGTGTCACTAGTGCGAAGGTGCGTAATGAGGTCAGCGACTGTGGGAAAGGCAGCAAGGTTAGGGAACAGGTACGGCAGCATGAGGCGGCTAAGCGCAGTAGTGGCAGGGGAGGAGTAGCGTGCAACCACAGCATCGTACACGGTCTTAGCACTCTTGTCCTGGCTAAAGTGCGCACACTCAGTGGTCGGTAAGTGGCGACGCACAGCAAGACGGGCAGCAGCATCGCGTGTGGCCCACTGAGAGCGAACAGTGCTGTCAGCAGTAGCAGGCGGGGCAGGAGAGGCACCAGAGGTGAGATCGAACAGGGAGAGTCCGTCTGCCCTATCGCACTGTACGAACAGCTGGAGGTCATCGACCCAGACCTCAAAGTCAACAGCACGACCCTCAGCATCAAAGGTAAGGACACTGGGGGTAGCCATGACTGCAGTGGCCTACTAGGGAGTGATCTCACAAGTCCGAGTAAGTAGGGCCGGGGCGCGCCGGTAGGAACAGTAGCGGCTCGACGGCAGGGCGGCTCGGCGGCTCGGCTGCTGGGCGGCTCGGTGGCTCGGTTGCTGGGCGGCTCGGCGGCTCGGCTGCTGGGCGGCTCGGCGGCTCGGCTGCTGGGCGGCTCGGCTGTTGGGCGGCTCGGCTGCTCGGCGGCTCGGTTGCTGGGGGACTCGGCGGCTCGGCGGCTCGGCTGCTGGGCGGCTCGGCGGCTCGGCTGTTGGGCGACTCGGCTGTTGGGTGGTTCGGCTGCTCAGCTGCTGGGCTGCTCAGCGGTGAAGGGGCCGGTAGAGGCGGCGACGGGGCCGGTAGAGGCGGCGATGGGGCCGCTAGGGGCGGCGCTGGGGCCGCTAAGAGCGGCGAGGTGGCCGCGAAGGGCGGCGACGGGGCCTCCAGGGGCGGCGACGGGGCCGCTAGGGGCGGCGACGGGGCCGCTAGGGGCGGCGACGGGGCCGCAGAGGGGCCGCAAGGGGCCTAGAGGGGCGGGGACGAGGCCGCGAAGGGGCCGTAAGGGGCCTCGAGGGGGCGGCGACGGGGCCGTAAGTGGCGGCGACGGGGCCGCGAAGGGGCCGCGAGGGGCCTAGAGGGGCGGCGACGGGGCCGCTAGGGGCGGCGACGGGGCCGTGAAGGGGCCGTGAGGGGCCTATAGGGGCGACGACAGGGCCTAGAGCGGCGGCGACGGGGCCGTGAAGGGGGCCGCCTTGGGCCTAGAGCGGCGGCGACGGGGTCGCTAAGGATGGCGACGGGGCCGCTAAAGGTGGCGCGAGGGGCCTCTAGGAGGGCGCGACGTGAGGGCGGCCTACGGGGCACGCCTCGGGCAGGAAAAAAAAGATCGAGTTAGGTGGTGGGCCCTGAGAAGCGTTCCCACGAGGGAACCTGCTCTATACCATGTGAAGAATGAGGAATGAATGAACTAGCAAGCAGGTGGGTACAAGTAGGAAAACCTAGAAATGTTGTACCCCATATAGTCTACCCCACTACAGCCTACACAGACTATAGCATATAAGTTTGACAGCCCAGCGCGCAGTTTGATATCGTGGCTGGCATGACCGTCGCGCAGGGCACGACATTCGCGGCAAGGGCCAGGACGGGGGTCATGATGAAGGCCATGATGGACGCCACAGGGAGGAACGATACTTAGGCCCTAGGAACGAATCGCTTTGATAACATGTCAAAATATTGGCTTTGAGACTTGGAATTTAATAGCTAGTGAGGCTGTCGAGATGAAAGAGGCTAGGTGAAGACTAGAAAGGGGATGAGCCCTGAAATTTTCAAGCAAAGCAAGGGGAGTTTGGGGTGTACCGCAAATAGCTTGGGTGTACGATGCAATCTACAATACTGTAACTATAACAGGCGGTTTAGATAAAACAGAATATACTACTGCCTAGATAAAGAGGGATGATTTTGTCAACCTTGTCCTGGTGGGTAGCGTGAGCAAACAAAATATAGAAATTGTTGTTGACACAAGTGTGGAAATGCGCATGATTACGTTTGCACATGTGAATCTGCTTGTTTGTAGGTGTAGATTTCAAAGTCCAAGGAGATCTAGTGGGGAGCTCAAACACAAGGATTTTCGGATTGGTCTGAAACGCCCTTTTCCCAGCCCGCTTTGAAGACGGCTCAAGCGAATGAGGGGGCTGGTAACTGAAGCATCCCAAACTACCCTTTTGACACTTCCCAACGAATCAGGGATGACGTTGTGCCATGCTTGCGCCATCCGCCTTTTCGCAGTGCGCCGCAAAACTTCCAACAGGGTTTGATGTTTGGTGGGGCAACCAGTGGCGCGGAAATCCGTTTGGGCTGCCCCAAGCTGTTATCCGAATGTCCTTGGCAGCAGATTGAGGGGATCAATGGTGCCTTGGACCCTCGGCTCTTTCAAGGGTAGGATCTCTCCGCCGTGGGCAAGCGCCGGGCCCAACCAACAGCCCACGAAACCCTTGTGGTTGGGTTTGGCCTCTTGACCTGGAGGACCTGGAGCGGTTGTTCTCAAAAGTGCGACTTTTACATCATCAAAACATGGGTGGACATCAATGTCAAACATTATATATGTTGTGTTAGTTTAGGCTACAGTGGGTTAGGTACTTGTACTCATTTCACTGCTAGTTCATTCATTCCTGTTCAGTGATTCCAACATGGTATAGAGCAGGTCCTTCCTAGGACCGAAATTTTCTAAGGGCCCACCACTACGTAACTACCTACCTACCTACCTACCTACCTATGCCCTAGGGCGCCTCGGCGTGTCACGCCCCTAGAGGCCCCTCTTGACGGCCCCGCGCTAGCCCCGTTCAGGCCCCGTCGGCCCCACGCCCGCTCTCCCTAGCGGCCCCGTTCAGGCCCCGTCGGCCCTTTTAAGGCCCCATTCAGGCCCCTCGCTAGCCCCGTTCAAGCCCCGTCGGCCCCGTTTCAGGCCCCGTCGGCCCCGCGCTAGCCCCTCCCAGGCCCCGTCGGCCCGCGCTAGCCCCGTTTCAGGCCCCGTTTCAGGCCCCGTCGGCCCCGCACTAGCCCCTCTCAGGCCCCGTTGGCCCGCGCTAGCCCCGTTTCAGGCCCCGTTGGCCCCGTTTCAGGCCCCGTCGGCCCCGCGCTAGCCCCTCTCAGGCCCCGTCGGCCCGCGCTAGCCCCGTTTCAGGCCCCGTCGGCCCCGCGCTAGCCCCTCTCAGGCCCCGTTGGCCCCGCGCTAGCCCCATTCAGGCCCCGATCGGGCCCGCGCTAGCCCCGTTTCAGGCCCCGTCGGCCCCGTTTCAGGCCCCGTCGGCCCCGCGCTAGCCCCGTTCAGGCCCGGTCGGCCCCTTGCTAGCCCCGTTTGGCCCCGCGCTAGCCCCGCTCAGGCCCCGATCGGCCCCGCGCTCGCCCCTCTAGGGCCCCAACCGGCCCCGTGCCGGCCTCGTCGACCCGTGCCCACCACCTAGAGGCCCCGGGCGGCCCGTTCCCGCCGCAGCACACGAGGGAGAGCGGGCGGCCCGTCCCCGCCGTGACCCGAACCGCGCGACCCGAGCCGCGCGCCTCGAGCCGAGCCGCGCGCCCCGAGCCGAGCCGCGCCACCCAGCCGAGCCGCGACCCGACCTGAACCGAGCCGCGTCGCCCTGCCCTACCTGGTTCGTCCTACCTGCTTCTCCTACTGCTACTGCTGCTATTTCTACTGTTCCTATGGCTAGCCCACAGGTTCTCGTGTTCGATGCTGAGGGCCGCCCTGTGAAGTTTGACACCTGGCTCGATGACCTGCACCTCTACCTACAGCTCACAGCCAAGGATGACATCTCACTGTACGATCACGCCCTAGGCCATGTCAGTGCCCTTGCTGCTACTGCTGACAGCAATGCTCGCTCACAGTGGCAGACTCGTGATGCCCACGCTCGCTTTGCCATTCGCAACTCCCTCCCGATAGACGAACGCGAGCACTTTGGTCAGCACAAGACTGCACAGGCATTCCACACAGCTGTAGTTGCTCGCTACTCCTCACCTGCCTCTGCCGCACTAGGCCGTCTCTCCCTCCCCTACCTGTTTCCCGACCTGGCCTCCTTTCACACAGTCGCTGACCTCATCACGCACCTCCGTACTAGTGAGGCCCGCTTCCGTGCCGCCATGCGTGCTGAGTTCCTTGCCACGCACCCCCCTCCACTCTGGCTCACTCTCTACCACCTAGTCACCCGCCTCCCTGACACACTGCGTGCTGTCAGGGACCACTTCCTAGCTCGTTGCCCCACTGAGCTCACCATTGCCCTCCTCGAGAAGGAGCTACTTGCAGCTGAGACTAGCATAGTCGCTGTAGGTGCCTCTCGTGGCGACCCCCGTACCCCGTTCTTTGAGGGGTGTTCTCCTTCCCCCCTTCTTCCCTTTGTCGCCTCTGCTGCTGCTGTTGACCTTCTTGGTGCTGAGAAGGTCGGTGCTGCGTCTGCCTCGAGCGGACGCCGCAGCGGCAAGGGCAAAGGGGGCAAGGGTGGTGGCGGTGACGGCGGGGGAGGCGGCGGTGGGGGCGGTGGAGGCAGTGGGGGTGGTGGCTCGGCTGGAGGGGCGAGTGGTAGCGGTGGGGGTGGTGGCGGCAGCGGCGGGGGAGGTGGCAGGAGTGGAGGCGGCGGTTGGGGTGGCGGTGGACGAGGCGGCGGCAGGGGTTGGGGTGGTCGAGGAGGTGGTAGCGGTGGTGGTGGCCGTGGAGGCACTGGCGGTGGCCAGGGCCAGCAGCACACTCCCTCGCCCCGGGAGGTCTGTGAGTGGTACTCTCAGCACGGGGGTGGGGGTGGTCTTAGCTGCACGTACGTCATTCGCACTGGTGACCGCACTCGTCAGCAGTGTGGACGACCGCACGCCACACAGCGCTGCTTCTCTCGTCTCGACGACGCTTGGCGTGTTCAGTTCCCTCAGGCCACTGAGCTGCCTCGCTGGCTTGATCTCCTGAAGAAGGGGATTGATATCTATGCTCTAGACTTTGATGCTATTCTATCTGCCATGTATGTGATGTCTACTAGTGGAGAGGGTGCTGAGTACTTGTGTGTGCCGCCCGACCCGGGCATTAGGGCCAGTGCGTCTGCCGCTCCAGGTACTCGCGTGTCGGCTACCCCAGGTGCTGGTGAGGCTGCTGCTCTAGGTGCTCGTGTGTCTCCCCCCCTTGGTACTGCGTCGACTGCCGCACTGCACACCTTCACACTGGACTCAGGTGCTTCTCGCTGCTTCTTTCGTGACCGCACTGCCCTTGAGCCGCTTGCTCGGCCAGTTGCTGTCTCCCTTGCTGACCCCTCTGGGGGTCCGGTCATTGCGACCTCTTCCACTGTTCTTCCCTGCCCTGCGGTCCCGTCGGGCACACTGTCAGGTCTCCACCTCCCCTCGTTCTCTACGAACTTGGTGGCAGGATGTGCACTCCAGGACGGGGGTGTTCACCAGTTCACCCCTGCCTACGAGCACGTGACACACTGCACGTGTGCTCGTACGGGCCGTCACTTGG